TCATGTATGTTTGTAAGGTCTCCCGCGACACATGATACATTCCTAGTCCGGGAGTTGTCTTTTTTTTAAAGAAAAGAAAGATTTTTTTACATACATTTCGTTTATGCACATATATTAGGGAATGCAATAGGTCAAGCAGTTCAGGGTCGCATACCTGTGGATTATTCGAATTGGCTATTGCCGGAATGGCCTAGCTTCCTAACCATATTGTATACTAAAATATATAGAGAGTAAGGCGATTTAACAAAGTTACAAAAGATTATACCCAATAAATTAACCATTATGGGCAGAAATTGCCATTGTCTAATGAGCCTTTTCAGAAGATCGCGTATATTAATGATCTGAAACACAATGTCATAATCGCTGCGGTTGGCATACGATTTGTTGATCGCACACATTGTTACATCTACATATATCACCAGCTTTTGTTTAGCTTTATTCGTGTAGAAACCTAATATCTTCAATCGCGTTGTATCGATCACCTTTTTAACTTGACTTTAATAATACGAAACTTAAAACTTCAATCAATGAGGCCAGGTATTGGTATACATGTTTTCTATGAGTTCTGATACTATTATACCTTGTTAGATAGCTGACAATACGTACATGTGTTTTAACAAATCTGCAACTTAACTGTCACAGTTTTTTTTTTAAAGTTAACAAACAAATTTTATTTCTTTTTGTTTTTTATTTTGTTGAGTTAACTACAATTTAAGTAATGGAAATTATAAAACAATGTACTTATAAACAAAAACCATAAAAAAGGAAGAAATAAACGAAAAGAGCTCTAAAAAAAAATTATTTTGAAATATTTCAGATCAAATTTATATAAAAAATCTTAAAAGTGCAATATCTTGAAAATGATTGGTATTATTATTATATTACGGGAATAATCGGTGGTCACATTTAACTTGTGAACACGGCCAATACAACCTGGTCGAAACGTCAGGGAATTCTAAGGGATGTACTTAATACCGACCTATCGCGAGCGCGTTAATACCCGTAATACATAATTATACTCGTATATTATGGTACACGATAGTTAAAAAGTTAGTAGAGTACTCGAATGTTGCAATACATAAATATAATTTTATAACATTGAACCTGGACTGCATTAAAAAAATCATGCACTGTTTCTTTCATAAGGACATTTGCCAGTAATCCTTTAATATTTAATAAACAGTAAACTGCCTTAAAGACATAAAATGCTGTATCAAATATTATATATTATACTCGTATTACAATTTTTATAGCGAGGGACATATCTCTGTGTTTCTACAGTTTTATGTGATCTTTATGTGATGGCTACGAGCACGCTGACCCCAGATTTTATTTTATTTATTTTACATATTTCAAACTTATTTTAGTTTTTCCTTCTAGATTTATGATAGAAAAAGCAAATTTCTAGTAATGAAGATTTGTTTTATTTAATATTATTTTTAATATTACTGTATACGAGAATGGTTAGAATTCAAGACGTATTTATATAAGGTATTTAGCAGTCTACCATTTTTATAGACATAACCAATTTTACAAAAACACAACTGCCTGCTCTTTCATCAATCATCATCAACAGCCTTTAACAGTCCACTGCTGGACATAGGCCTCTTCTTAGAAAGGAGGTTTTGCCCTACTATACCACGCTGGCCAGACGGGTTGGTATAGGGTTTGTGTCAAGTTTTCCTTCTCTCTGCAGTGCTGGTGTCCTGCGTATTTCGCTCCCTTAGTCGCCTCTTACGACACCCACGGGATGAATAGGGGTGGTGACACTCTGTATTCTTAATCCGTCACCACACGGAAAGCCTGCTCTTTAGCGTTTCATTTACGCGTCAGACAATACGCAGCAGCAGCTTTTAAGCTTTTAAGGCCTAAGTCCACTGCTGGACATAGGCCTTTCCTTAGGAGGGTTTGGCCTGCTATACCATGCTGGTCAGATGGGTTGGCATAGAGTTTGTTAAAAGTTTTCCTTCTCTTTGCGCACTACAAAGAGAAGGAAAACTTGAAACAAACTCTGTTATCCTATATATCCTACTTAGTTAGCTCATAAAGATAAAAAGAAAAGATAAATAGGGATGATGACATCTTCCGTATTCTTAATCCGTCACCACACAGAAACTTGTGCATAGTCACCATCGTTTCCCTGTGTAAAAATCCCCTGTGAAAGAAGAATCTATACTAAGATTCAGATATCAGTGAGCATAAACTACCAAAATACAAGATTGTGAGAATGCATTTGCTATCGACATCCGACAAACATGAACAGCGTCATTCTTACTTAGGAAGCGCCATTAATTACGTGAGGCGTTCAGGGGGGAGGGGTGGAGCCGAATCTCATATAATCTTACTTTGGGGAGAGGGGTCTCGGCGAATATCACGTATTTTTTTATCCACAGGAAACAGAGTAAAATTGCGAGAAAACTGGGTTAAATTGAGTAAATCATGTTCCTCCACGGAAATATGGTATTGCGAGTGCCGCAAAATTGCACAGTAGCCCGTCGTTTGTTTGCGCGCCACCGCCAGCCTTTACACTAAAAACACATTTAAAAAAATCTCATGTGAGATTGGGGGATGGTTGAATGAAATCTCACGAGAGCTGACCAGGTGGAAGGTGGGGGTGACAGAAAGTCTGAATCACCTCACGTAATTAATGGGCGCCCCCTTATAGGCGGGCGAGATCCGACACGATTTTTTTTCCGGGGTTGGCAAAACAACCGACATTACTTGTAGACACCATCACAAAATCGGTGTCGGACAAGTGTGAATCGTTTCATATAAAATGTCTTGCCACTAGAGTAGTCGATTTTCTGTCGGGCCCGACACCTGACAAGTGGGAACGAGCTCTTACTCTTGAATTGCAGGTGTCCATGGGCGGCGGTAGTTACTTACTACCGGGTGGGTCGTCTGCTTTTTTGCTCCATTATGCCATAAAAATAACCTTCGCTGAAGCCGCAGAGTTACCGCGAGGACTTAATAGTTTTAGATTATTTTAAAAATTTCTTAGGTAGTACGTCTTCCCCTTTTTTTGGAGTGAATTTACTTGTATTGTACTAAAAACAAAATCGAAAGGGTTGAAACATGAAACCCTTGGAAACGGGCGGTTGTAGATCTACACAAGCATATTATAGATTGACTTCATTTTAATAAGTATTGCACAAATCAGATTGTTTCTATTGTGTGCGTTGATCTATGACTTTAGTCTAAGATGATTTAAAGGAAAAAAATATATTTTGAGTTTGAGTTCAAAACTTGTAGGATAAAAGTACTCTCCTGTACTATAACATCCTGACATTTACTATCCTCTAACCTACGACAACGTCCTCAATAATTAATTCATTATCATTCATTTTATATTTACGATACTTTACAGAGTATCGTAAATATAAAATGAATGACGGCAATCACATGTTTAATTCTTTACCCCCTTAACCCCTCCATTGGGTGGAGTTTGAATCCAAAAAAATTCGATTGCAAGTTTGAAGCCTTTACGCTACCTTGATTGAACCTCTAAAGCCATTTATAATAATATCCAAATTATATTACATAACAGATCTGTTAAAATTCTGCTCTTATAAAAAAACCCCAAAATCAGGAAGTTTTATGAACGCGATACGTCGACAATTCTTAAAAGACAATAAATAAACGGTAACTACCTGCTGTAATATATTCACAAACAAGCTATTATCATATTTATTCACTCAATATGACATCTGTTAAGATGACTTCAGAATCTCTTACACAATACATATAATAATATCAATATGTATAAAACATGATAAATGAAACGATTCAATTGCATTATTTAACATTTAATTTATAAACAGTCAACAGAAACATACACCCAAGCATCACATTTTGCTATACAACACATTTTTACATCAATTTTAGGTACGTCTTTGGCAAGTCGACTCCTTGAATCCCCGGAATTATTGTTAAAATCACACATCCCCTGAAATAAACACTAATTAACACTAAAACCACGATTAAAATAAATATAACTCATCTTAGTTCTCAATATTATTATAACTATTGGATTCAAATAAAGTAATAGACTATTTAATCTAATTAAAAGCAACACCGTAAATAAAATCTACGTAGAATTTTCAATTCTTGGAACTCAAGATAGTTTCAGTTAGCTAATTTTTTACATCTAGGTAAATGAAGATGAACGACAAATCAGTGAAATTATGAAACATGAGATCAGCAACGAAATCGATTAGTAAGAAACTAATAGTAATAGATAAAAGCATGTACGATTGCATTGCTTGTATAGCCTCAGAACAACAAAAACTTATTAAAAAAGAATCAGACAATGGCTATCACACGAAGCTTATTTATGATAAGTCCCTTCTTGAGCTTCCAGCTATGGTAACAGATTTCACAAGAAGTTATATAAAATTAGATGAGCTTAGCGTTAAACTTAGAGAAAAACTGCATTTTACCTTTATTATGTACAGTTTCATTGCACACCTACCTATGTAAGTATCACTTGAATTCAAAATACTAAATATTTAATTATCCAAAATATACAGAAAGAACAATTAAAATATAATATCTATATAATAATATGCTAATTCATGAATACTGTTCAAATTTAAACAAGGAAACCGTTTACCGACCACGTAAACAACTTGGACACAATTCCTCTACATATTTGGCATACACAATGGCTCATCAAAATCCAGTGGAATGGTTCTAAAAATATTCTGTATATCTCAAAATTCATTTGGACAATCTTTGGCACTAAAATCTTATGTCTAAAACAAGTCTTGCAGACAGAACCAAAGACCAGGTTGATTAACAATATTTGCATTGATTACAACTGTTCTTAAAACTAAGTTTGTCTTAAGTCACGGTTTATGAGAGAGTTGGACTAGCTGGTCATTTTCACTGATTGCACTATCCTTTGGAAATGTCCGTACAATCAAATATCACATAGACACTTTAACTCGTAAGCCTTTCCTGTAAGTTCCATTATAGCATTTTATGTTTATCGTAATCGGTCATACGAAGTCGTTGATTTCATTCTGTAAGGGTGTTTCGGCTTTGTCTACGCACTTCCTGATGGCGTCTAGTATAGTTACAATCCGCCTGTCGAGCGCGGCAAGGTGCGGCTCCCACAGAACAGGGTTCACCGGATCTGATTTCAATGAATCACGGAGTAGTTTGGATAGGGGTGTCCCATTATGGTATCTGTGGGTTATCAAGAAAAATAAACATCAAAAAAATATTTTGAAAAGTCAACTGTAAACTACCGTTATATATTTCTGATCCAACTTTGCGTGATTTATTACTGATCATTGTGGCAGCTGCCTCTTACCTGAATTTTGAATGCTTAAATTACTGTTTGTCATTGGATGTAGCAATGGTACCGTAATGGGTAACCCATCGGACTTATATCGATTTTTTTCAAATTAAATCTTACAAAATACACTATGACGTACCACCGTCTTATCGTGGTAGGAGTGGATCAATAAGGACTAGTAACATATACCGTTACGTAGTATTCTTAATTATAATAAAATATTGACCCATTTGTTGTCTCATTTTATTAACCCTATGAATTTCATTGCTCACCATATATGCATCTCTCTATAGGCTACCGCTTTCAACAGGTCTTCCTTCCACTTAGGTAATAAGTGGAAGCCACCTGGAACCATAGCTTTAGCTTAAAACAAGCTAGAAAACTTACTTTATTAGTTGAGCTAACGTGGTATGTCGCACAAGACAGCATTGCAATAATGGTGCTAAGATGCTCAACTCATCATGGTTTGCTTTGCCAAACGCCCGCCCTTGGTCCAAATGTAAAGTAAACGTTTCATTGCCGAACATTCTGTAACAACAAATCGTTATATGTATGTATATTCTTGGGCCACAAAAAACATAAAAACTTGCTTGTTCGTGTATGAAAAAAGGCTAAGTTTTTAGGTATATGGAAGAAGAGGCAAACGAGCAGATGGGTCACCTCATGTAAAGTGACTACCGCCGCCCATGAAAGCCTGCAACTCAGGAGTCACAAGCTCGTTGCCATCATTTTAGAAAAGAGTACGCTCTAAGTGAAGATTATTAAAAATATCCGGATTTCTTAATGACAGCTGTTTCCGAAACCCTCCTATTTCAGGCGCAGTGTGGCACACTGTGAGGTTTTAGTCGGTCCGATTCAGACACACCGCCTCGCCCAAACTCCAGCGGCCCGAAAGGGGTTTCCACAGGTAAAAAAAAAAGACTCTTATAATATTACATTATTTTATGTGATCATGTTATCCTACGATGGAATATACTATTTTATTTATTACATAAATTAATACGTCTAATATAGATATCAGTGTAGGAAACCTTTTGCTGGAAACCATGGTTTTGATCATGTTACGAAGCGAGATTGCGGTGACTTCTGCCGCCATATTTTGCAGAGTTGATGTAGGGTAAAGTAGAGGTAGAAAGTGTACGGGTACGGAAGAGTACATCTGCACAAGACGAACCAGGCGCCGAAGAGAGCCAAACGATCTCCATCCAACCGATGGTGGAGGACAGGGCTATCTGTCACCTAAAAGACCGATTTGCTCAACAGGTGGCTAAGTCTGAGAGGGTTCAGAGAGATTTCCTTTCTAGGGTGTACCCGCAGAAAAATCTAATGAGGGAAAACTTTCAACACTAAAAAGTGTAATATTGATATGATCAATACGAAACACATTAAATTTATTATGTATTTAAACATATATAAGTATGTTTATCAGCAGTCTGGTTACTATAGCACAAGCTATGCCTAGTTTGTGGATCAGAGGCCGTGTGTGAGATGTGTGAGGTATTTTAAAAATCATTCCGTGAATGCTACACCCGTGTTATTCGGTATTTATTTGTGTGCAATTTATAATTGTGCCACAAACGGTTTCAATGTCAACCCAAAGTTACCTAACATAATTTACATGTATAATATTTGCCTGAGACAGCAGTTAATAATTGCAAATATTTTAATATGATTATTGGTAGATTTGTCTACAAACATAGACGAGATGCATTTATTTTATTTTATAACTTACAGACTAAATAGTCTGTTAGTTTGTTCACCATAGATACAATAAAAAATATTTACGCAGTTTTATTTTTGAGAATGAGTTGGCAGATGTGTAAGCCATCGACCCTTGGCTAGACTGTGTAAGTTCAAAGTTCAAATACTTACTATTGAGATTATTATAATACACAATTCTAAAATCCGGTAAGTATTTTTGACGAGTACCTCAGTGCTATTTGAAACCTATAATTGAGTTAGGAGCTTAGTATGTTGCTTGTATTTTCTAGAAGTCATATTAGAGAAGTCCTTTAAAAATAAAATACAAAACTAGGATATTATTAAAATACATTAAATGGGCACATATATCCTGATAATAACTTTGAAAGAAGTAGATACAATATTAATAAAAATACTTAAACTACGTACTTGAATGTTTCATAATGATGTCGATCCATGTTTCCAGTCAAAAAGTCAAACATAGACATGTCCATAAGATCCAACAAACGGCGTCCGGAATCATACGGCGGAGTCGTACGAACCTGTAAAACAAGCAATCACGTATCACACATTCTTGGTCTTCATTATCTAGTTAAAAAAACTACTACGGTTCATTAAATAAATAAAGACTTAATAGAGGAAAACTTCCTACACACAATTATAAAAATGTACTAAATTTGTACTAAACTTGAATTTATAGATTTAAATGTAAGGAGAAGCGTAAAATTGTAGTTTACCGTATCGCAATAATCAGCTTGAAGTTCCCACGTCGCTTTTCTTCGTTTGTGGTAGCTTCTTCTCCAGGGATGTCTCCAAACCTATAATTAATCCAGAATTATATTTTATGGTCACAAAAATAATAATTCTTTAAACAGAAAACATGGAGCAATTACCAAATTTCACGATGAATATACAATATTTGGAATATAGTATAATAGTATGGAAGCTAAGGCTGACCTAAACACATCCTGTAGTCTTCATAATTATTCAATCATGACATGTTTCTAAACATTGTGGTGGTCACAGCACTTGCCATTTGATACTATATTTTGATTATTTTTAATACGATAATTTTATTTTATATTTGCATGAAACTACAATTTTTGTGATGCAGATGGATTGTTGTGTTCTTCAAAAGTATTTTCTCTCCTTGAGAGAAAAAGAGAATAAAGCGTGTAAAAAGATGGAGTAATTAAGATCGCTTAAAAATAGTTGCCACGTGCTACAAAATAAAACTAAATCCAAAATGAAAAATTCGAATCGACCTTTACAAAAAAAAAGTTGAACCGACTTAAACAATACTAACAAAGAGCACTAAAAAAAAATTACAAATATAATTAAAAAAAAACAAAAATAACCCTCAATATAACAGTCTACATTATAATAGCAATAGATACATTTTAGTCTGTTCGAAGTCCGTTCCAAGCCCGATGCACAATAAGTAAAGCTGAGGGTCTACATTATAATAGCAATAGATACATTTTAATCTGTTCGAAGTCCGTTCCAAGCCCGATGCACAATAAGTAAAGCTGAGGGTCTAGGTCAGCTTTACATCAGCTCTTAGCTTTCTTTCTTAACATTTGAATGGATGGAAAGAGGAAATATACCCTTTCAAATAAATTTTTTTCTAAATCGATTTACAAATGAAAGAGTTTTGAGGTAACAAACATAAAAATAATTGTGTACCAAACTTTTTTTTGTCTAAATGTTTTGTATAAAAATATCTTGAAAGAATAAAACAAGATCTACATGATTATATTATTTAAAGAGTTATCCTCTTACTACTAAAGGTCACATATATGACAAAACGAATCAGGTGTTATGTAAGTTCACACAAAGCTCAATGAAATATCCTATATTTTACAACGCATATGATGATAATAATAAGTAATAATACATGTATTGATACCAGATATCAGAATAATAGACATACCGTGTCTGCGTTTATAATCCATCTAGATACATTAACTAGATCTAACCTGTTTCTTAGTCGTTGATTTCATCATATGAAAGAGTTTCAATAATCACAGGATTTACATAGTATTAAATAGATAGGATGTTTACATTCAAAGTTGGCTTTGTAATAGAAATTTTTTATCGTGCCTTTAACAAAGTTAGCTATGAAATGCACTAATCATAGTTATTTAAGGTTTACATACTTGGACAGATAAAATACATCACCTAAAAAACAACAAATTTTAATGCTTTTTCTTTCAACATGTAAATACAGTTTCATAATATTATATACTATTAGAGAAATAATTTCATAATTGATTATAAAAATTCTACTTTTGATATTCTGAGAACAAGTGAAATCGGAAATTATAGTTAAGAAATCCTACCACAAAGTTATTTACCAATAGTTTCTACCGCTAAGGAATTTGAGTACCCGCATTAAATACGAGACGAGGTAACAAGCGGTGTACCATGCCTAATGCACTGCAATAATGACATGTACTCAAATTGAATAAGTAATTGGCAATATTGTATAGCCCGTTAGTTAAAATAATATTTCATTTCTAATAATACAAAATATAAAATTGCCCAAAGATATGATATGAGAAATTGGCTCTCTACGTGGTGACGGATTAAGAATACGGAGTGTCACCACCCTATTCATCACGTGAGTGTCGTAAGAGTCGACTAAGTGAGCAAACTACGCATACGAAACAAACCTATAGGTACCAACCCGTCTGGCCACTGTGGTATAGTAGGCCAAAACCTCTTTTCTAAGGAGAGTTCTTAAACTATAATTCGCTCACAGAAGTTATATCCCTTTCCTACCATTAACTTGGCTTCTTTTCTGGAGTAGAGTCTTTTAATAGATCTTCAAGTTTCCTGTCATCGCTGTAAGGAGCCACTTTGACGGCAACAGACTTATTAACAAGTATTACTTAGTGATATTAAAGTTATACTTAACAAAATTTGGACGTTTCATACGCTTCTAACACTTCGGGTATTCAGACGAAGGTGTTAAACTGTAGGATTATGAGGCGACAGACGTTAAAACGACACTTGCTCAGTACAGATTGTATGCAAAGCATACAGTACAAAGTCGATTAGTAATTATAGAATAGAGGTGTACATTGGAACACACATGTTGTTGCAAGACAAAAATGACTTATGTCACACAAATAGTAAAATGTCCAGCATTTTGAAATAACTAAACCCCTAATCGTATTTACATTTTTAAGTGTTTAATGAAACTTTATCTTACATCCGGCCAGCTTTAAAATCATTCTTCATTCATTCTTTCAATTGTTATCTTTATTAATATCATATTAATTGACGTCCTCGTTGATAAATAAGATAGAGCAAACCAGTAGATATATCATGTTACAAGGTAATAAACATATTAAAAAGTGCTATTAACCACTGACCTTTCGTTCAGCTATGTCCGAGGACGGCAGAAACGCAGCAAAACTCCCTTCAAGCATGTCAGGGTTGCCACAAATTGCATGTCCAGTGTCGCAATAGTACGAACATTTGCCGTGGAAGCAGAAATTATTCGCCGGCGACACAAAAAACGTTTTGAGAATGTCACCTTCCGTCACGTCGTAGATCTCCGTTGTCATATTGAGGACTCTGCCCACGACCGGCATCGCGCGACGGAAACCAAGTATCCTGGATAACAGTTGATTTGAATTAGAGGCAATGTCTAATAACGTTGTACGGAGATCGTAAATAGCAATGTGAGATTTACATGTGCCGTAGAATTTATACGAATACCTTAAAACAATACTGCTTTAAACTAAAATACTCTAAGGTGTTTGGTAATTCCATTTTGTCCTATAACATAAACCATTCTCAGTTCAGCCTAATATCAATTAAAAAAGAACACAGTTTAAAGCATTTACATAAACAGGTATAATTTATTCTTCTGAATGGATTTGATATTGAACTGTTTAAAAATTACCTAACTAAATCGTCACATAAAAAATATTTGCGATTTAGTGGTCATCATAATCCTCATTACCTATTCATCTTACAAAATTTTATTCAAATCATTGCCTAAACTTTATGGCAGACCCCACGCATGCGGTAAATTCCACATCACAGTAGCACATATAAGTCAATCAAAGAAGCCATATTGCAACAATTATTATATATGTCTAAATACACACAAAGATATATCAACTCACCTATCTAAGTGAAACGCTGCGATTTCAGCGTTATGCCGTTCATAGTCAGAGAAATAAAAATGATTTGGTAATGTCTGAACATCGCGAGCAAATCTGTAAACAAGCAAACATATGTGTTTATAATGTATGAACCGTATATACTCGTATAAGTTCGTCAAGTAACCCATATTTTTCTGAATGATCGTATCCAAAACCCTAGTCTAAGTAGATTTAACTAGATAAAGCACGGAGCTGGCTCGGCTCCCTGCTTAATCGGCAATTGATTGCTATCTACATAATTTGCAATCCAAGCATGCAGTTTATGAATAGATTGGGCGTCAAGTATAAGACATTGAGGTCTATCTTTATTATTTAAGTTTTTGAAAGTCGTTCAATTAAGGCAACCATTTCAAAAATCTGACGAGGACAAGGTGAAATACAATTAAAGAATCAGACCGAAATCATTTCCTTAAATAACATACCACCAAAACTTTTAAGGTTATGCAGGAATCGACTTTGAAGATTTTAAAATTCTTTAACAAATTTTAACTTATTTGAGACTTGCCTTGTCAGGCACTTATTCACTTTGTAAATTGAAACCGAGTTATATAAATCCATTAAAGAGAAATTTCAAATATCGACTTTCGACGATAAGGGACCCCTGTCCTTTTAAATAAATTTATTGCCTCGAAAAATGTAAAATTACTCATTCCTAGTAACAAATGGAGGTATAATTTCTTTTGGTGTCTAATGAGTCGAATGTAGGTGCTTAATCAATTTCTCGGAAACAAAACGATTAAAGTGGCTCCTAAATCGTGAATCTGGTTAGATAGGAGCAATCCCGGTAATATACTGCACGAGTGTCTTTCGATTTATTGTCCTCACTGCGACTCGTAAGTGAGATAGTACAATTTAAAAAGACTACTTACAAATGTTTTAGTTTCTGCTTCCTCTCTACCATTGAGATAATTGTGTTTGTTGATATCATGTATATATGCATATATATGTAGATACTCGTATAAACACAATAAATATAAGTTATACATTGAGAAGTGACCGTAACCCTGGATAAACTAATAGATACTCGTACAGGAAAGGGTTACCACCGACAGTCGCGTAATTTATAGCCCCTTGTGAATCGGGAAAGATCCACGAGGGCCTCTTGATATGTCGTCGGGATAACCCCTCGAGTCTATAATTTTCCCAGAGAAGTGATCCAGTTCGCTAGGAAAGTTTGTTCTGTATGTTTAACTTTTTCAAGACACGAATAATTTATCTTGTTTTGTTTTTCTACATAGACCAATAGCAATGCAAGCTTCAAGAATCTAATACGATATTATTATATAAAATTATGTACATACGTAACTTAGTTGCACAACATACAGAGCGTTTTTGTCGCCTCTGATATTTTCATCTTCCTTTTTATATGAAATCTATATTGTTAAAATAAAGGCGAAGTGCTAAGATGGCTGATACTCGATATACAAGTCTGTCGGGGGCCTCACGAAATTCCCGTGAGTACAGTTTCGGGAATGCTCTTTGTATTCTTTGTCACGTCAAATTCTATCAAATAGCATTACAGAATATTGAATATGCATCGTAATATTCAGGTGTATATTACTTATTATTTTTCTGTAAAACTGTCTGTGACTTTAAATTTCGAAAGCAAATAACTTTGCTTCACATGTTTACAGTAACCTTTTTAAAACTAAAAGCTCTAACGTTATTCATAACTAAATAGTAATGTATTGTCGGTATTGAATTATGAACACACCCAACTTTAACAATGGTAGAAAAGTAACAGAACTTTGCAAAACTCACTACTTCAACTACCACTTGTAGTTGAAAACAGTGTGGGCAAGCCGCTAAGCCGATCGCACGAAAGAACGCTCTCGAACTTTTGTGAATAGGAGCAAGCACAACACATCTGTGAAGGTGACAGGAAAGTTCTTGCAAACTCCTTAAGGAGCATGCACGGACTCTTGAAACTCAGGCCCGCAAGCCCGACTTGTTTACCTAAGAAAATAAAACTTACGTATCTGTAAAAGACATGACATGACGTATGATAGACGTCCACTCACGTCATAACTATAAATTATGGATATTCAATGACGGCTACACTTACCTCATGGGCTTGAATAAAGCTTGGACACCATTAGGATAATCGATAATGAGTTTGAGTTGCGTTCCTCCTTCTTTTTGTTCTGCCAAAAGAATATATTTAATCAGACAGTACCCAATCACTACCATTAAATTTGTAACTGTAGACTATAAACTAGAAATGGAAATAATTTTCAAATAACACGGTAAATGAGCTGTAAAGATGATACTAAAAATAAATATTTTAGTGTATAGATAAAGTCGGATCAACAATGAAATCCATTTAAGTGGGTTAAATATTTAAGTCCAATTCTAAGTAAAGGGCGAGATTGTTGTGGCACTATTGTCCGTCGGACCGCTAACCCAAGCCACTGATTGCAGACCTTGCCTCATTTAATATACATATCTACCTGATTCAGCTTTTATATGTATTCAAATATTATCCCCAATATTATTTGACGCAATGGAAAATTTATTACTGACGCAATTATCAAAAGGCAATTATGGTGTATCATCAAAGGGAGTATTTAATATCATACTTACACGTAAAAATATTTTTTATACTTGTATTAATAAAGCTATTCTCTATGAAACCCTAATTTTAACGAACCTTAAAGAGGATCTCAATTACGCTGATTTATTTTGTGTGTACATTACCGCTTGTGAAATATTTGTTATGATTGTTTTTGAACAAATTTTTACTTGATATTTAATTAATTGAGATGCTATAATTTTTTTTTATTTAAAGATAAAGTTTCGTCCGCACGTGCTTTACAACAATGAGTAAAAAGATGAATGTATGTGATGCGAATTTTAAAAAAGCCGTCTCTTAAACATATTAAAGTTTGTTTTTCTTTTACTTGGCTTAATTCAACCATAGAATTCGAAGTTAAAATCGTTTTCCTATAGAAAACGATTTTAACTTCGAATTCTATGGTTGAATCTGGTGACCTAAAAAACATTGTTACTTGAGTTACTAAAAGATATTGTTATTTAAGTTGATTCGAAGGAAACACAAAATTGAAGTGACTTTGACAGTGACAGTGGTACTCGAATTAGTTTCAAAAATAGGGGCAATATATTCACCCAACAGTCTCATTTAAGGCACCACTGTAATATGTATATAAAATATTTTCATTATTTATTTTTAACGTAGATAAGCCATTAAATTTGTAGACCGCCGTTGTCCAGTCATAGACAGCCGAGGGGCGAAAAGGTTGTCTGTCTAAACGTAATTGATTTTCTAAGTCCGATCAACGATGGACTGAATATTTAATGGCGATACATTGGTATTTAAATTAAAATCTGGGCACACTAAATCTATTTTTGTTTTAATTTTTAAAATTATCAGTTGCTGGTCTCTGGCTGGCTAATCATGTATCTCACTAATTATGTAGATCAAAATTCTAAGTAAATTTTTAATCTACTTATTAAATAATACAATCTTAAAATATACTATACATCTTTTAATTACCCCATAACGTACTTTATAAATTTTATATGAACATAAAATCTATGTACAAAAATCTGTTTGTATTTTATGCGCTGCCGTACCACTCGCCTGAAATTCAATTCTCGTAATAAAAATTAGTTAAAAACTCAGTCCCGATCTATTCTCGGTGTCACACATGTCATAAGAGGTATTCTCGTAGTAAAGTACTAAACATTCAACGTTGGCTGTACTGTGATCATATCATTTTTGACCAATAGTTGAATCGGTATTCTGCTAGTATTAGTAATATTTTACTATAGAAAGAAACAGAGGGTGCTCCATGTCCTTTTCTGCTTCTTGCTTTTATAAAAATTAGTAATAATCACAAAGAAAAAACAAAACATTTTAAAATAGAAATCGATTGATTATATTATGGATAAATGATATTGAAACTTACCTACATGTAGAATGGGTGAGTAGACCATATCTTTAAGCACGGCGTCTACTAGTGGTTCGCCGTTCTCATACAATTCGTGTTGAGATATCTTCAGTTGGAACTTCTCCAAATTAGAAGCGTTTACGCTGCAATAGAATTTGATTGGTATTATTACGCTGAGCTTGATTATATCTTCCTACGTAAGTGCTGGAAACATTTGTCTTGAATGTTTTAGCACACAGTTCATTTTGTAATGTTCTTCGATTAAATATATGTGAGAAACACGTTTAAAACTGTTGAATCTTGAATCCAACCTGAGATCTCTATGTACGAATCTCTCTACTATATAGTGGTCGTTTTGATTTAAGAAGTTAATAAGTCATCACTAGCTGTGTGGTTGTATATTTTTTTTTATAATCTACCCATGTTATATTTGAAATAAAGTGTAAAAAAATGAGTTTATTATGTCATCTTTGAAGTTACTTAAAATTTTTTGCACACGCCCGTAAACCTTGGTCGTTAACGTCAAGATTTACATGGATGATTTTCCGATGGCGTCGTGTTGGTTTTGGCTGCGTGGAACACATAGGTGGACGTGATTTGCCTACTAGCGGTAGGTGCGAGACTCCGGGCGACGCGACGCAGCTAGGAACTGAATACTAAGAAGCGTACGTGTAACGTTTTCGATTTGTGGCATACTCCGATAACCTGTATTTAGAAATCAAGCCGGCAGCTACTCCTAAATTTATTGACTCTCTTTCGTTGTGAATTGTACTTTCTCAAAAGGAAAAAAAGAAACACACCATTGCGTGGTATTTGAACATTCACGATGTAATAACAAATACCGACCTTTATGTATCCACGATTACTAAATAAGCGGGTTCATCATCAACACGATAATAAAAGAAAAAAACTCTTACGTCAAACAATAATTTTCATTCCCTTCCCCATTTACATAAATTGCACCAATTTTGACAAAAATACGCGTGGATTTTCCATGTATCAACACAACCCTTTCTGTATGATACATGAATTCAGTCATAACAGGTCCCGTCATATCACGAGCGGGGCTTTAAGGAAGCTATCATGCATTCATTCCATTTAGTTTTATTGTCAAAGACCCGCGCCTATCTCAGCGGGACCCCGTAACTGGATTTTAAATAAGATTCCTTGTAAGTCTTGTGAAATTTGCCTTCCAAGATAAAGAAAGGTCGCTTGTCTGTTTCATATTATAGTATCATTTCGCGCCGAAAGTATGATATGATCCTTTTTTATAGTCTTGTATCAAACGGAATACTGGTGATAGTGTATCTAAACGCGAATGGAATGTTATATTCTTTTCATTGCTTTCAGTGCGCCCTATGAGATTTGACCTAATATTTGCGTTGGTGAAATTACGTGAACCACTGGAGGCCGGTTGCGACCTACCTGTTTGATTTTGATGCATACTTCAGTACTCTGCGGGGGCATTCGGGGTAGATGAAAAGCTATTGCCTTTAGAACGTGCACTGGTAATGTGTTACATAGAAAATTATAGTCGGTCGCAACGGCGCATTTGGAGCCGGGACGCGAAAGCAGCAATGTTCGTGTTACCAAAGTTTAATTGCGGTAATAACGAAGGAACTAACAATTTAATTTGGAGACTCGCGGCGTGCTACATAAATCGTACTTGTGGATGTCAGCTGTCGGCAACTTTAGAGAATTTTCCTTGTAATGTCATTTTAGCGTCGTTTTTCGCAGAACGTTTTAATTAATATTTCTTACTGACTGAACCCTTTACGGTTATATCTACACTGTTAAGCAAAATTGGGGGCTCTAAAATTATTTATATTTCATTTCATGTTTTTTTCCAAAAATGTAAAATGAAAACTAGTCTATGGTTGTTCTAACAACTTTAGTTTATTGGTTAATTTGTTGCTTCTTACCTTCTAAATATGTAGCTGTAAATTTATACAAAAACTATTTCAATATAATGTGTAGTTGTGAGATAAGCTTAAATCTAAGAGTTGTTTTCGTGTATTTTGGAAGATAATTTTTCTAACCTTGCAATTATCTAAAAATAGATGTATGTAAGTAAATAAGAATCACACCACATACAAATTTAATTGTTTATAGATAACTATTAAATTTGTATGTTGTGTCATTACTCGTCTATCAAACGGAGAACTTAAGCAACTTTTACAAGAGTTGCTGGAAAAACATTTTTATCGTCGCCGGATTACATCGAAGCAAAAGACATGGTTTAGTACAATTCGCAATGGCATGTCCTCTGTGTGATGGGAATGTCAACCTGTCATCACGAATCAGAGAAGGAAGCGTGTTATGTTCTTGCGAACTGTTCGAGTAGGCAACTGGTGGTTAATCTCTTTTATCATAGCGGTAATGGTGTCGAAATGATCATGTTGTCCTTCTAAAAGTCTATCTACATATGTACATCTATATATATATATATATATATAGTCTATCTACCTACACACATAGATATTTATATTCATGTGATTTTATCGTTTATAAAAGTTTAATTTTTAAAAAAGATTCCGACGAATTGAGAACCTCTTCCTATTTTGAAGTCGGTTAAACTTACCATTAGCTTTTAGAACACTATTAATTTTTTCTTTACCTAGTAACAAGTCTAACTTTCCAACGTTTCTTTTTAAACTAGCGACTGGGAGAAAATGCCTGTGGCATAATGTCCGCCATTTCACAATTCTTGTGCATAAACAATTAAAATAAACAAATAAGATAAAGCTAGTTATTACTATATTACAGGTGTTTTAATAATTGTCTCTCATTGTACCTACAGGGTACGTTAGGTATAAATGTATTCCTGTTGAAAAAGGAGTAAATAAATGAAAATGGTTTCCGCAAAGGTATTTAGGAAAAATGTATGTAACTAATTCTATATCACATACATATGTCTATATAAAATGTTATCAAATTTTATTACAGATATATTGGGTGAAGCAATAAAATAACGAAGTAACTAAGTTGTGCAATAGGGAATATGCACGTGACACCAAAATGGACAAAATATTTTTATTTGTAATTTTTATTGCTAAAAAAAGATACCCATACAATTATTTTTGAAATTTATTATAATTTAATAGTGAAATTTAATCATCAAAAATTGGCTTTTTTAAGATTCCCTCGCAAATTTCTAAAACGCAACGCTATTGGTTGAATAAAACGTGACGTCAACCTACACTGTCAAGAGTGTCAACAAGTTGTGTGTATTTGTAATATTGGTTTCTGGTGATTACTTGTTTCATTTTAAGTTAATAACTAATACGTTTTCAGTGTTAAATTATTAAATTCCCGTGTAGAAAGACTCAACACAATGACTGAATATACTTTGTCAGGTGCAGTTTTGATATTATTTGGGCACAAAGGAACGGCACAATATTTATAATAAGTTTTTATTGGCTTTTCCATGGTAATAAGTTAATTTTTATTACTAACTTTTTTAACTTTCACAATCTTTGTGAACTTCACTCCTTTGTTGACATTGAATTCGTCTGAAAGTGTAATCTGACGTCACAAAAAAGCGCGCCAAAATGGACGTGTTCAAATTGCCCCAAAATGATGGTGATTTTAATAAATTTTTTTTTGCTTAACGGTTTATATTTCGGATGTGTTATATTTATTTTTTGTAATGTAATAACTAGTAGAATCGTTTAAAAAAATTAAAAAAATACATGCATATTCCCTATTATAGATAAGATTGATATGATTGCACGCTTTGAATGCATCTCTAATATTTACTGTAACTATAAATGATTAAGAGAATACTCGTTATTTGTTTCTTTAATCAAGAAGTCTTTACTTCGCTTACCAAGTACTATACTTACAGTGAGTCATCCAATCTGAATGGCAAAATATACAGTGAATTAGACAGTAGTAATGATTATAAAAAGTGTAGGATGAACAGCGGGAACAAGAGTTAAAAAATAATAATAAATGTCTAGGAAATCAAACAGCAAATATTCGAACATTGTAACAATTATTTAAATAATAGGGCTATATATCCATGGAACTTAAATACAACGACTTACATTCTGTGTTTCGAGTGTCTTTCGGGGATGACGAACTACTTCAGGACTCGTCGAGGCCCTTTATCCAGGGGTGAAGCGATCTTTCATGTTGCTGTCAGGTGCTGTACTTTGCAACCCATACAGTATATCCTTATCCGTAAATCCGTTTATGTTTTACAAATACTAGTTATTCAACTTTTTCTTACCTGGGTTCTAGGTCCTCCATCTCACCGATAGTAGGGTTGTCAGGCCTCAATACATTAAGATCTCGATGTGGAGGTATGATAACGGTGTGATCCTCAGCCTTGCCTTGGATTTGCGCAAACAGTATCTTCTGTAAGTCTTCGTATCGGTCCGCTGGAGGGGCCGGGGTTCGTGGTTCGGTTTCTGTGCCGATGCCACTCGTCTCACTTGGTGCTGACTGTTCATATTCCCGGGAACCATTGCTGCCATTACTGTTGACAAAAAGTCCTGTTAGTGTTACTTGAAGTAAAATCCTTTATATGTATCATAGAACAACGGGTATTTTTTTTAAATCAATCGATATCTGTGTTTTAAAATCTAATCCATATTTTACAGATGGTTCTCCTCAAACACACTCAAGAAATCATCAAAATGGGTTCAGTGGTTTAGCAGATGATGCGATAAAATAGAGTTCAATGAAAAACACATATTGAAGAAAAAGTATTTTTAAAGATTAGTACAATTAATTAAATTAAAAGTCTTTGCAGTTTTTATAAATAGTATAAATACTCTGGCCCCTAAACTGGTATAAAATTTATTATAGGAGCCAGTGCGTTCAACATGTCACATGTTTATATTAGATATAAATTATTACCTATATTAGATATAAAAAAACAGAAAAGAAGGAAGGAATAAATTTGCCCGGTTTTTGCAAATATTTTTCATTGATACTCGGCTTAAACTGACTATCTAACACTAAAAAAGGGTTTCAGTTTGAACCAGTAGTTCCTGAGATTAGCGCGTTCAACCAAACAAACTCTTCAGTTTTATAATATAGTAGAGATTCTAATAAAATAAGATTAAAAATGTAAAAAAATTATATAATTGATTAATGATTTTATATTGTGATTTTATTACGAGCTTTTACCCGCGGCTCCGCCACGTGTATGTCGGTTGTCGGACTAAAATTAGTGTATTCGGGGATAATATACCTTACTAACGGTGAAAGAATTTTCAAAATTGGATTAGTAGCACCGGAGATTACCCCGAACGTACAAACTCACAAATTTACCTCTTTATAATGTTAGTATAAATAAAATTTTAACGATCTGATCTCTAGAGACATCTTTCAGCGAAATACTCAAACGTTACTTCATAATGGAGAAATGATTTACCTAAAATACAATACAATCGAAAGTTATTCAAGACAAGTGTCCTTAATATTTCTTAACCAGTATTTTGTATTTTGCTATAGCATTTATTACCTTTACCAACAACGTTTTGTAATGGTAAAATATTGAGGGGTTTTAAGCATGATTACATTTAACATTCAAATTAATCTGTTTGAATGGGTATTATCAATCAATTTTGTTAAAATCATTGTTTGTAACGACTGTAAAGGAAATCCGATTAACAAGTTAAAGATACTCACTACATACCTAAGGGCCAATTAGGGCCTGATTAAAACGGCTATAATTCGTACAAATTGATAGACAGTTTACATACCTAATATAAATATACATGTTTCGTGTATTTGTTACTAGCAATCTGTAAAATCATTTATTATATACAATACACGGACGGCGGGCGATAGGCACTTTTCATTAGGAGGGCCTTGTGTGAGTTTATTTCACATGAACTCGATCGTCACTGTAACCGCGTTCGGCGATGCTATTGGCTCGCACTGAAATCTTCACTAATAGCAACGCCGAACGCGCTCACCATCAAGAGCGAGTTGACGTGAAATAAACTCACACTAGGCACTCAAGTACCTGTCTGCTTGTTAGCCCAAATAGTCACGAAGAAAATAAAACAGTTCATCTAAGTAATTTTTGAAGTGAGAACTTCTTTAGGCGCGTTGGGGATTTTTGAACAACAAACAAAAAAAATGTATTTTTTGAGATGGGAAAAAACCTATAAATATATATCTATACAAATAACTAAAATTGGAGTGTCTGTTTGTAATATTAATTTTTTTTACTAAATGCATATGTATGTTTACACGGTAGATACATATGCCAAAATATCATTTTTCACAATTTTGTCTGTCTGTATGTCTGTCTGTCTGTTGGTTACGGGTAATCTCTGGAACGGCTGGACCGATTTCGACGGGACTTTCACTGGCAGATAGCTGCTGACATAAGGAGTAACTTAGGCTACTTTTTTTAGACTAGCTTCGGCGTTGCCCGCGGTTATAACAACAAACGCGGGTAACACCGTGGGACTCAGCTAGTATATATTAAAATGAGTAAATTCGAAGAATCTTATCATATTTTTATGTTAGGAGGAAAAAAGAAGCAAATGATTGACGCAGTCCTATACATACATATATACCTTTATTCTATCAGTATTCAATAATCCTATTCAGGGATAACAAGATAAAATAATGTCACTCAGTTTTATTGGGGTTGCGCTTATTGTTACCAAGTCTGATAACAAAATGAAAAAAAGACATTTTGTTGGCCATATTGGATATTCGAGTGACGTAACAAAGCACTATCACTTCCACTTTATAGACTTTGATTTTCTCATTTTCATAACTTTTTTTCTAGTAAACAATCCGCTTTCACAAATTTACATTTTCCTATCAATTTCACCTCCTTGTTGTGACCAGAAGGCGTCATTTAATTGCACATAAAATAAGTATTACCACTTAACGCGGCCATACTGTCTGCCTTAAGGAAACGTTTTCAGTAGCCTACGATTTGCAGGAATTTTATGACGCGTGGGTAGGTAGTGGTTAATATTTTATGAGTTAAGTACATTAATGTATTTATATACTTACTGTGCTATGGATCAAGCTATGCTTGGAGTTTCCTTGAAGAATAAAAATGGCAAAGAGGTCATTCGACAAAGAATTAAAGTTATCAATTTAGTTTGAAAAACAAGCATAGTAAAGTGGCAACAGCCTACGAAGCCTGGAAGTGGACTTGGAGGGGAGGCTGCTGAAGGCGAAGGAGGAAGCTAAATGAATGATTGGTTGATACTAAATGACATAAACACTTTACACTATAACATAGAAAACTATAATCACGCGAAAGAAAGAACCCAGCTGCCGAGCTTTGGCCGACTTTTCATGGTTTTCCATCTGGATAAACCGGGTGTTTGCGAACTAGGTACATAGTATTTTTTTTTGTACAAAGTTAATTAAATATTTTAGCGTATATGTACGTGTATGATAACGTCATCGTGCTCTACGACTCATAAGAACTAGCTGCCTACCTACTTTAAACTATTCTTGTTTTAAAAATATTTACATACAACGTGCAATGACACTGCGACCTACTCTTTCACGTGCAGCATCGTAAATATAGTTTAAACATATACATATGTTTTTTTTTTAAATACTGGCTATATATCTTCTTGCATCGTGTCAATAAAATGTCCATATAAACCTTTATTTATTATTAATACTCGTAGTGTCGCGAAATGTTGATACAAATGTTATATTATCTATAGTAATATTATAAAGAGGTGAAGTTTGTGAGTTTGTATGTTCGGGGTAATCTCAGTAACTTCTGGTTCAAATTGAAAAATTCTTTTAGTGTTGCAGTTTAGGGACTACACGAATGGCGTAGTGGTTTACGCCGATAATGTTGAAATTGGTCGAGTTCACAGGGATGCGTAAAACTGAATAATTGTATCTGTTACAACAAAGAAAAACAGATTAATTTCCAAGACTTGATCCGATATCATCCAATAACTATTCACTTTTTGACCGTATCTTTGTTTTACTTCATCTGCTATCTTTAAAGCAACATCTGGAAATACCTTTTTTAAAATGGTCATGGTCGTGATCTTACGAATCAAAAATAATTGATATCGATAAATGCATAAGTTTTGTGTTAGAACTTCCTAACGGCAGTGGTGTGATTCAGTGGTGTCGTTGACTGTACACGCCATTAAATTTGTTTTTCTTACCCCGATATAGCTTCTTTCTCTGTCCCGTCTAAAACAATTAGGTACATTCCCAAGAATACGTAAGACAGGTGACGGGCCATAAAAAAAAACTGGCCAAAACTGCACTTACACATTATGCCGATCTCAAATAAAGACCCTTTTTTTAAAAGACAACTACGCCCTACAAACATTCACTAAACGAACACAAAGAACACCCAGGCTTAGAACAACAATTTGTGGATCACACAAAGTGTTGTCCCCTGCCGGGATGGAACCCACAACAACCAGCGCAGGAGGGAGCGGTGAGGTGACCGCTTAAACTGCTGCGCCCTCAGCACAATCGTCAATTGGGAAAATAACAAGAAGATGATAATGAATGCTTATTCCAAAATTCCTTGATTAGTTTAAACCTATGAAAGAGTACACAAGCATTTCTAATCTGTCTCAAATTATTTACATTTCAAAACTTAATTGTTTTGTGTATGATCAAAGTTATTCAAGTTATATTAATTTATGAACGTACTCGTACGTTCTTTTATTGACTAGAGTGTTATTCTTATTACTCGAAATTATCGAGGACGTTTATTTGAAATTTCTCTGAGAACATTAAGTGTTTGTGATTACGTGGGTATGTGTTTACACTTGTAATCATTACGAGTCCGATTGTTCAGTGGACTGAATCATTGCCACTATTATGTAGTCGCCGATTTCCAGTATTATAAACGAAAACGAGTATTACTCGAAAGTGTGTTACTTCAATCATTTTTTTAATTTATTGTTATTTGATAATATCTACACCATTAAACAATAGTGTACTAGGAAACTGTTGAATGAATAGTAGAATAGGTTATAATGAAAAGTTGTTAGTACCGCATAATCAGCCGTTTTGTTCGATTTGAATTATTAATTGCACTCGTTACGACATCGTTATTAAGAAAGAACTGACAAAAATTTAACTTTCACACTATGAAAATAATCTGTTGCTAATTATAATTCTCTGCACTATTCGTTTTTATTTTTTAACAGCAAACAAAGCATGTTAGTAATAAATTGATTCTAATTTATTTTAAATTGTGTGCTAATAGTGGTGTATAATCAATTTTAATGTTATTTTAAAGGTCATAGATGCACATAGATAAAAATCTATCTTAAATATTTGCGACACAGAATCATTCCTTTGTTTTTTTAAATATGATTTCGATCGTAAACAAGATTTAATATTGTGACGCCCTATGCTAAAAAGATTGGGTGACTATTGATTTATCCACAGTTTTGCTCTTGTGAACCTAACAACACTTCCCTGCCACTATAAGATGACTCGTCTGCTCGTTTAGCAACTTTGTCATAAAAAATAGCCAAAAAGATATATTAT